CGGCACGCTTCCTTCCTCCCGGGGAGCTGGGTGGGTGTGAGTGTCTCTTGGCCACACATTGCTGCGGTAGCCCGGTTATTTTAATCATCTGTGACAGGATTAAAACTCATTAAACTTCAAACAGAAGCCATACAGCCTACTACACTATAATAAAACTTTTTACTTTGACCGGATGTATTTAAAAAAAGCCAGGAATGTGTCATCACCTTTATTTTAGGAAATGTTTTGATGCCCTCCCTTTCAGTCTCCTTGTACCTTATCTCTATAAATCTACGCAACCTTCATTGCGTAGCTAAAGGTAAGCAAAACGCTTTGTGGTCTTTGTTGCCGCGAAACAGTCAACCCATTTTTATTGCTGTCGCCTTTTAAAGCGAAGCTCTGGGCTGTGCCATTTCTCTTCCTGGGTTGTGTTTTGGTTTTTTTTGAGAGCATATTAAAAGCTCGGGAGGTCGGATTATAAAACCATAGCCCAAAGCCCGCTGAAATTAAAGAACGTCGTATCTGACGGAGAGGTTTTTGTTTCCTTGCCAGCTAGGTGCTGCAATTAAATTAGCTGAAAGAGCAACATCTTTTCGCTGTGGTGCTTTGCAGGTGGGGTTTCAGAAGATCCTGACTCTAACCTACGTCGACAAGTTGATAGATGACGTTCACAAGGAGTTCCGAGACAAGTATCGCAACGAGTTCCAGCAGAAAGGCACCCTGGGCCTCCTAAACGGCACCTTTGATTTTAAAGATGACTTCATGCGCCTCCTCCGGTAGCAGAGCCTGATTTTTCTCTCCAGTTTCCATTTAGAGCAGAGATGGGGGGGGATGTGGCGGGGCAGAGCTGAAATTCAGGCTAACGGGCCACCTCCCCGCAGGGATGCCGAGGAGAGCAGTAAAGTCCGAGCTCCCACGGTAATGAAGACGTTTGAGCAGTCTCTCAAGTCCCAGAAGACTGTCAAGTGTATGATAGAAACCCGCGGGGAGAAACCAAAGGAGAAAGTCAAGAACAAGAAGAACAAAGGTTCCAAAAAAGAAGGTCAGTTTATAGGAAAGATATTCGCGGGGAGGGGGGGGGGATGATAAATATTCCAGAGCTCTGTGTCCCAGCCTGCGCGTTCCCAGTCCTCTGGTAGAGCCCAAACGCTGGCCTGCGCTCACGTCGGGGGCCAGGACCTGAAGCTGTCGCAGCGCCCGGTAAAGCGTCTGCGGGTGACAAGCAGCCCTCCGCAGCCGGGGAGAGGGAGGAACTGACCAAGGATGAAATCTTGCAAAAGAACCGGGAGGAATTCTTCAAGAGACACATGAAAGCAGGGGAGAAGTCCAGGTGGGGAACAAGGACAGGGTCAGTCTGCCTGTGCTTCCAACCGGCTCTTCCTGGTGTCCCTCGTCCGTGGCCGAGTCTCTCCTTCCTTCAGTGACCCCTGGAAGTCAGACCTTCCTTTTCTGGACCTTATTTCTCTTTTCCTTATTTCCCTGCTTGCTGGAAAGACTGGGAGAGGGTGCGCTGGGGGTCCTGGGGGGGTAATAGAGCCTGATCCCTTCCCTGGGAGACCCAGAAACCCGGCATGTGCCTGAGAGAGGTCCGGACCTCTTTTTGGTGAGGCTCTCCCACTGTGAGCAAAGGGCAGTGGCGCATCGATGCCTGGCTCGAGGTAAAGTAGGCCGATACAGGATTAAAGTTCAGATAAATAAACTCCGGAGACTGAATTGGCCAGGTTTAGCCTTAATTTCTACCTTTTTGGGTAATCCGGGCTTTTAATTTTCGCACAAATTAGTAAGGTGGCAATTGCCGCTTCTTCCCTGCAGCGAACAAAACGCGTTTCTGGTCTTTATTTCAGCAAATCTCCAAAGCCCGAGGCACAGAAGGAGAAGGGGAAAAAGCCCCGCGTGTGGGATCTGGGGAACTCTAATGCCAAAGTACTCGATTACAGTAACTCTGCTACCAACGGAAGCGCGGAGGCTTGTCCTGTGGAGGAATTTGACCCTGATACAGTAAGGAAAACTGAGCTCACTTATGTCCGCTTTAGCGCGTTGTTCTGGGATCAGCTGGGCCTTGCAAACCCTGCCTGGTCTCCACGGCTGGCTGAGAAGGGACAAGAAACAGGCAGGGGGAGGTGACGGTAAGTGGTCGCGGATTTTTTTCAGGGTGCGGTTGCTGATTTTTCAGGGTGCATGTTTTTCCCCCTCACAGGCCCTGGGGGATCGAAACAGGGAGCCTGGCCGCCTCTACGACCTTGAGTACGAGAGCGATGATGAAGCTGAAGAGGAGAAGGTTATTCAGAACCCTTCGAAACCCAGGTAGAGGCTCCTGCGGCTCCCGCTTGCTGCACGCTTCTTGATTTCTCTCCCGTAACTCCTCTTCCAGTCTAACCGGTAACGCGGCGGGGACAAATTGGTGTGTTTGTCAGCTGTGTGGTGGGCTCTTCTTGCATCTGGCTGTTGCGTGCCCTATGCAACTCGCTCCTTGAACCTAAAGGTGACTCCTCCGCTTCTCCACAGCACAAAGAAGGGTGGCCTGGGGGGCATGTTTGGCATGCTGAAAGGCCTGGTGGGCTCCAAGAGCTTGACGAGAGAGGACATGGACCCCGTATTGGAGAAGATGAAGGATCACTTGATTGGTACGTCTGGATCTGCTGTGAGCGAGTTAGTTCGAGGTGGTTCCCTGCGCCCCATCGGGAGGGGTAGCACCCACGGTTTGGGCTGTTCTTGCCCACAGGAACCGTGGTGGGTTCCTGTTTCGCCTTTGGGGAGCCCTCGATGGTGCATCAAAAGCAGGGTCTAGTCTGGCAGGGATCCTGCGTGCTGACTCTGTCCTTCTCTTGATGCTGATGTCCGGCATGCGTGACCTTCTCAGCAGTGCTAATTCCCCTCTCTCTCCCTTTTTCTTGAAGCAAAAAACGTGGCAGCTGAGATTGCAGTGCAGCTCTGTGAATCGGTGGCTAAAAAACTGGAAGGGAAGGTGATGGGAACGTTCACCAGTAAGTGGCCGTGTGGCCTTCTGCCTGTGGTTCGGGGCTCAGGAGCGTTCCCCAGGCGTGACGGGTTCTCTTTCCATCTCCTCTTTCCCAGCGGTGACCTCGACGGTGAAGCAGGCCCTGCAAGAGGCTCTCGTGCAGATCCTGCAGCCCCAGCGCCGCGTCGACGTCCTCCGCGACGTCATGGATGCCCAGCGCCATCGCCGACCCTATGTGGTCACTTTCTGCGGTGTCAATGGTGTCGGGAAGTCCACCAACCTGGCCAAGGTAGGACACTGTCCTCCTGGCTCTCTGGGACGGGTGCTGAGGTTGGGCTGTGGCTGCCAACAGGCTTTTTTTTGACCTCTTGCCACCTACAGATCTCGTTCTGGCTCATCGAGAATGGTTTCAGCGTCCTCATCGCTGCCTGCGACACCTTCCGTGCGGGAGCGGTGGAGCAGCTCCGCACCCACACCCGTCGCCTCAACGCCATGCACCCTCCAGAGAGCCATGGCGGGCGGACCATGGTGCAGCTCTACGAGAAGGGCTACGGCAAGGACGCTGCAGGGATCGCCATGGAGGCCATCTCTTACGGTAGGTGGAAAACCGGTGGCCGGAGACGCGGTTTTGGGGGAAGTATCCTGCTTAACGCTGTCTCTACTTCTCCCCAGCTCGGAACCAGGGCTTTGACGTGGTCCTGGTGGACACGGCGGGCCGCATGCAGGACAACGCTCCTTTGATGACGGCGCTGGCCAAACTCATCGCCGTCAACGCTCCCGACCTGGTCCTGTTTGTGGGGGAAGCGCTGGTGGGAAATGAGGCTGTGGATCAGCTGGTGAGTGTCGAGGCTTTGTTTCCAGAAAGATTGAGGAGAGAAAAAAACCCAGCCCGCTTTTGTAGGTTTTATCGGAGATTTGGAGAGCGGCAGCACCGCAAATGAGTTTCTCTGCTCTGTTGCCTTCCTCAGGTCAAGTTCAACAAGGCCCTGGCTGATCACTCCATGGCCCAGACACCGCGGCTCATTGACGGGATTGTCCTCACCAAATTCGATACCATCGACGACAAGGTAAGGAGGCTGTCGGGACGGCTCCACGTGGAACTATCCGCTGGTGGCCGGAGGGGGAGAGATGGGAATGGTCAGACACGGGGCACTTCCACGCTGTCCTGGACACCGTCCCCTGCCTTCCTCTTGCATTTAAACCATTTAAACAAAATTCAGCAGTCTGATTTCTGCGCACGGGGCAAACGGGGCCGCGAGGTCTCTTGGTTTATAGGCGTTACCGCGGCGGGGTGTATAGGGACCATACAGAGCCGAGAAGTACGAGGAGGCTGGATATTTGATGAGCTCTTTAGCGCATTCCCCCGAGGAGATTTGGCTGGATTTGCAGGCTAACGGTGCTGCTTGTCCTCGGCAGGTCGGCGCCGCCATCTCCATGACCTACATCACGAGCAAGCCCATCGTTTTCGTTGGTACCGGACAAACTTACTGTGATCTGCGAAGCCTTAACGCCAAGGCTGTGGTCGCAGCGCTCATGAAGGCCTAAAAACCACCAAATCGCTGTTTGCAGATGTCAGAGAAGAACATGCTTTACCCCGTTACCGACTAGTCTTTCCCGCCTAGTGCAGAACAGAATGAAGGGATACTGGCACGAGGGGTATTTTTTTGTTTGTTTGTTTGGATAAAACCCCTTTTATCCAGCAAAAGCCCTTCCCCTGGGTTCCTTCATTCTGTTTTGTGATGCAGGCTCCCTTGCGGGGAGGCTGAATCCAGAGCTTTGTATTGTTCATGCTGCACGGGGCGGGGGGGCAGCGCAAAGACCTGCTGTGCTTTTTGTGTGTGGGGGTAGACAGCGTTTTTTTGAGCTGCTTTTGATTTTTAGACCAGCTTAGGGAGTGACTTCTGTCAGGGGCGAGCAGGATAGCCGCTGCTTAGCAGCAGCAATAGAAGATTTGGCTGTTCAGGTCGCCGCTAGCGGCAGCTCCACCGAAGCTGATAAACCAAAAACAGCGACGGGCTGCGCCAGGAGATGTGAAATTGCCTTAAGGCCCCTGTTTCTGTTGTCACCGGGATGCTGGAGCAGGGTATGTGGACACTGCGTGTTTGGGCAGGAGCTGGAGAGCCACGGCAGCTTGCTCCGATAGTGCTAATCGTGGCCGGAGAAGGACGGCTGCCTGCCTGCTGGCCTCAGCATTATTTGCTAGTAAAAAATGAAAAAATTAATACTGGAAGATAACAGTGGCTGCTTGCTGCTTTCCTGCACTCTTTCTCCCCCCCGTTCGAGTGCCTCTTGATCCTGGTCTGAAGTGCTACACTGAATAATACAAACCTCTCTTACGATGTCTTGTAGCTCTGTATCGCAGATGTGCTATAGTGCAATAAATTGAATGCTGTCTGCTAAGAGACATAATTTATATAAAATAAACTTCATAATTTGTTCTCTGTGTATAAATAACTTGCTGCTAGCGAGGATGTGTTTCCTCCTTGGGGGAGGGGGGGGCTAAGATGAATAAAGTGCCTGAGTGAGGTGGTGGAAAGGGCGTGTAAGATGCACACCAGCCAAAAGTTAAGTGAACGGGCCTTTAATACAAGCTTTGACATACAAAATACTGTACAGTATAAAGACGGGACTAGAAAACTAGAGCTTCAAGTGGAAAAAAAAAAAGCTCAAGTTTCAATTTTTTTTAATTGAAAGTACAGAATACAAAAGCACTAAGTATGAAACTAGAGGTGGCTGCAGCTCCCTCGGGGAGACCGCGCTTCCCCAGGCACATGCAACCTCGAGAAAAAGCCGATTACTACGTTAAACTGGGCGTCCATTTGAGGAGGCTTCGCCGCGGCCTCTGGTTCGTGCCCGAAGCAGCTCGGCGCGTGTGGGTGGCGGCTCGACGGCCATGGGCTTTGCTTTGCTCTGCCCTCGACTGGCCTCAAACTGCGCAGGCTTTTCCCTGGGAGCTGCTGGCTCCGACTTCGGCCCGTCCTAGGGAGGCCCCCGCCGTGGCGCAGGTCCCAGGGCAAGGCTGATGCTCAAGCGCTGCATCCTGCGGGGAAAAATTCAAGGCTCTGCAAAACCCGAGAGGCCGCTGGACTCCTGGGGAGTCAACCAAGGGGCTAGGAAAGGGCGAAGACTCTCTCGGCTCTTACCTTTGATCTCGGCGTGGGCAGCAGTGGAGCCGTTCAGCTGCTGTCCCTCCTTAGGCACACCTAGGAGAGAGCGGAGGGCGACGGCCGGGTGGAAAGGCAACCCCCGGCGACCGCGCAGGCGGGGAGCCCCTGCCTGAACGGCAAATGCTCCCAAGCCGTGAACAGCTTCACGTGACAAGCTTTTCTGGCTGGGTTTCGCTCTCAGAACACGTGCCAGCAAGGCTCCGGCTAGCAAACTCGCTTCTTTTCCCCATTTTTATGATTTATTAGCGATATCTCCCGTATGCTAAAGCGTTAGCTCAGTCTGAGTCGCACGAAGGTCAGCGAGACCAAACGGTGAGACTGAAATGCCCTTTTTCACTACAAAGGGAATAAACAGCTGCAGCTGCGCATGGAAAAATAATGTTTGGGAAGCAGCAGAGCTGTTTAAACTGTAAGAACACACAGTGGTTTCACAAAACTAAACCCCAAATTCAGCTACACTTGTGACAACTTTTTTTTTTTTTAAAAATAAAAGCTTTAAGGAATACTATAGCATAGAGAAGAGGGGCTATTAACACTGCCTATGCTCCAAAGTCCACAGTGACAGTCGGGAACGGCGTTGCATATGACAGGACCCCCGAGTTAAGCGTGGAGACGGCGGACGTACGCAGACAGCCATCCCGCATAGCCCCTAACCCCTGTACCTGTTCGGCCCCGCGTGGCGATCTCGCTCGTCAGCCTCTCAAAGTACTCGGGCAAGTCTGTGTATTCATCTCCGTAGGAAATGACTTTAATCCCTTTGTCCAGCATGTTCTCACGGAGCTTCTTAAACTCATCCACGTCTCCCCTCCGTACGAGCATGAAGTGCTCCAGGTCTGACTTGTGCTTCACAGCCTCTAAAAACAGGGCCTGAAACGTGGTGTCATCAACAGTCCAGCCACAGCCCAAGAACAGGAATGACTTGTTTTCATACAGCTTCTGAATCTCTCGCTTTAAAAAGAAGGGGAAGATGTTGTTAGTCAAGGCAAGTCTAGTCTACCCTTGATTGGTTTAGTGTGGACTTGGTAGTGTAGGTTAATGGTTGGACTGGATGATCTTAAAGGTCTTTTCCAACCTAAACAATTCTATGATTCTATGATTCTAAGTCTTCACGCGGCACGAGAGGCGGCATCTGCCTCGCCACTGGTAAGGCTCTTCAGGAGCGTCGTCATTCACCCACCCTCAGCACAAACGTGGTGAGGGGTTTTTGCAGGTTAACGGGCTAGAGCATCCACCCCTCCTCTTCTATTCCACAAAATTAAGGACTCTCCCACCACCCTGTGTGAAGCCGTCTTTAAATTCAGCTCAGTCTATGGCCTGTTAACGTACGGGCCTGCCGGGAGCTCACGTGGGAAGTGGGATCATAAAATCATAGAATCATTTGGGTTGGAAAAGGCCTTTAAGATCATCCAGTCCAGCCATTAACCTACACTACCAAGTCCACACTAAACCAATCAAGGGTAGACCAGACTGAACCATGTCCCAAAGTGCCACCTCTGCCCGTTTTTTGAACACTTCCAGGGATGGGGACTCCACCACCTCTCTGGGCAGCCTGTTCCAATGCTTGACTATCCTTTCCGTGAAGAAATTTTTCCTAATATCCAACCTAAACCTCCCCTGGCGCAGCTTGAGCCCATTTCCTCTCATCCTATCACTAACTACTTGGGAGAAGAGACCAACACCCCCCTCACTGCCCCCTCCTTTCAGGGAGTTGTAGAGAGCAATAAGGTCTCCCCTCAGCCTCCTCTTCTCCAGACTAATATACGTACATAGACGTCGTATGGGACCCCCAAATTGCGCAGGGCTGCCTCACCATGACCTCCGTGTTGCGCAGCACGTTCTGGTACCCGGCCGGGTGGAGCACTATGCCGCTGGGGTTGGTGTAGACGCCGTGGATATGCAGGACGCTCAGCTTCCTCTTCTCTTGCGCCCACTCCAGCACCTGCGCAAAACAAACCCCTCCAGAAACGTTAGCGAGCGCATCTCCCCACGGCGCTGTTAAAAAAATCAAGTTGGGGAAGCGTTTTGAAGAGGCAGCTTCTTCCTCGTGTTCCATCTCATCTCCTCAAGAGGTCGTGAGTCCATCAGCCTCTACATCACAGCCTGCGGCGCTTGTTTGGGTCAATGCTTCAGCCAAATGGCCAATGCGACGGGAAGAGGCCGAATCAATACAGCGGACTCGGCAGAAAAAGGGGGAAAAGGCTATAAATGTTAGGTCAGCGTGTTTCTCAAGCCTATGAAGTTTATTTCTTGGCCCGTCTAGGCCCTAGGGAACTCTCGGGGAGCTTAACAGCTGACCTTCATTTCAGAAAGCCACTTCCGAGGCTCTTGTTTAAGCTTGTAATAATTAGAATGCTTATTTGTAACACCGTAAGTACTTCCAGCCATGCAGATTAAGAGGTCATGCAGGAAACGTGAAGCACAGAAATGACTCAGAATGGAAAGAGGCCAAGCGCTGCGCAGCACCTGCACGTGGCGCGTGTTTAACAAGCAAACAGAAGGACAAGATGCTCCCCCCCCCAGTAAAACCCAGGGTGGAAAGATGAGGTGGGCAGGTGGCGAAGGGCTCAGGGGTTTCACAGTCTGATTTTCTGCCTGACTGGGGCAGAAGGAGGGAAGCTTGCGTGAAGCGAGCAGCTACGAATCCGAAAGCACGGCAGAAGGAGCCGGAGCACGCAGAGTGACCCAGCAGGAGCCGTCCAGCCGTTCCCGAAAGAGGACGCGGGGCAACAGGGAAGCCTTGAAGGCTACAGCCCTGAGGATGCCCTGTCACAAAAAAGCACTACGCAGCACGTTATAAAACTGGAAAGGTCAGCTTTGCATCTCGCACGGAGTTTCCCATGTTGGTTAGAAACGTCAACCCACGCCTTAGAATCACAGAATCGTTGAGGTTGGAAAAGACCTTTAAGATCATCCAGTTCAACCATTAACCTCACGCTGCCAAGTCAACTTCCTTATGTGGAAGCAAGGCTTGCAGCACTTCAGCAAGGCCAAGCCAGAAGTTTCAAGGACAGAGATCAAAAAAATACCCGGCTTAAGGGCTCCTCCTGAGCAGTGGATGTCGGCCAGCAAGCACAGCATTTCAGAAATGAGCATTCGTCTTCATTCCTCTGCTCGCTGCCCCAAAATGGTCAGAGCCTCTGCTTGGAGATTGTCTAACATCATTTAAATCACTACGAGCGCTACAATCCCCTTACGTGGGCGCGAGGGCACATCTCGCACAACTGGCCTGCGCTGTCCCAGCTCAGCCCTGACAAAAAAAGAATCATCAGCGTTTACCTTCTTTTCATCAGTCAGGTCAAGAGACTCCAGATGCTTCCCCTGGTGTGCCGCGTACAGTTCCAGCAGGTTATCAAAGTTTGTGGTTAACACAAGTGCCCCGTTTTCCATTAAGTGAAGCACAGACTGAAGCAGCTGCTTCCCAGAATCTTCCATTTTAGATTCCAGGTCATCAAACACCTCGTATAAACAGTCTTTGAAAAAGGTTGAGCGAACATTGCTTGTGCGCTGAGAAGGGGAGACAGATTAAGGTCAGAGCCTGGCTTCTTTTAACGCTTCATGCCAAACGGCTCGATGAAAAACTACCCGCGTATTTCTCGAAGGCCTCCGCAAAGCTCTAGGTCCTTGCAAGGCAAACACAGAGCACTGAGGTGGATACTCCCCCCCCAAGCACACTCCAAGTGATAAATACCCAAAAGCTTGTGTCCACGGCAGAGTTATGTCTCGGGAACGCAGCACGGTAACTGCGCTTGGGGTTCCTTGTCGATAGAGGAATCGCTGCAGACGGGGGCATGCTGGAGAGCCAAATTTGGCTATCTCCAAAAGCCAAATCCTAGGCTCAGGGCAGGGTACCGAATATTTACGTACAGTGCTACAAGCACACTCACCGGAGACAGCTTCTGGATAAGGTCGTGGGCAACGTGAACCAAGTTCTTGTCTTCATGGAGACACTTTTGAAACCGTTTGCTCTCTTCATCCTCCAGGAGATCAAAGTCAATAGCAGCATCCAGGAGGGCCTGGATCAACCCCTTCCAAGACTTCAGCGCCGGGACCTGGGGAGCGACGGCCGCGCTGATTCCCGTCCCGATCACCAAAACAAGTTCCTGAGGCTTCTTGGTTTTGAGGCTTGGCAACAGCTTCCTGCAAGGGGAGAAAGTCGCACAGCTGGTACCATCGTAGATGTAAGGATGTCTCGGGTCGTGGAACATGCAGACCAAGGACAAGGGAGGTACCCTCTGCCTAAATTTTGAATCAGCGTGTTCTTTAGGGTCCTCTGATAATCAGAGGATGAGAGGAGCAGCTCGGTGTCCCTTAAAGACAGCGCGCAGCTCCACGGACCAACACCACAAATGCTCACAATTGCAAGGTACGCAATTACAACATATTTGGCAATCGAGTCCGTTACAGAGATGGTTACTGGGGAAGTCAACACCGCCCCGGAATACTTCTGAAGCAAAGCTAATCCAGTTAAAATTTGGAATAAGGGAGGTCTTGTTAACAGTGGCTACCTGGAACCTAGCAGAAAGGCTGGAGACAGTGGAAAAGGCGCGGAGAGCGACATGGAATTTGTTATCAATGCCTGGAGACACATGTACGTACTCTTCCCGTGCTGGAGACACGGCACGCATTGGACCCCTGCGCGGGGAGGAAACACAGCCGTGGTCGCGCCTGGCTTCAGTAGGGCGCTGAACTGCAGGCAGCAGCCCCATCTATCCCAGCACGAAAGGAAGGAGGTGAAGGCTTCCTCCCAGCTTTGCCCTGCAGAGGACATCCCCCTCTTTGCTGAGAAGACCCCTCGGCGCGACTTTGCTGTACCAGAAATCCCTTCCCTGCTACACTCGCCACGTAAGCGGGAAGCTGGAGGCCAATCTTTCGGAAGTCCAGATGATACGAAGAGCCTCACAGAAGAGCTGCGGGGCTATATTCTCCTTCCCCCTCCTCCCCCCTGCCTCATTTTCCTAGCTTTACACCTGCACAGCGCTTTTAAATTCGACGTTTATCGAGTAGATGTGCTTCTCCCCATCGTGCCTTGCCTGGTGCCAAGCTGCTTTTCTGAAGCAGGGGATCGGCGCCAGCTTCCCAGAGGACCGAAGCAGCAGCCCAGGGAGGCAGCTCATTTGGAAAGAATGTTTTTTTTTATCTGCAAACACGTGATATTTAGCGAGAAGGGGAAAGGAAACCGACACCACACAGATGGAGCTTCGCCTTCCCTCCGCTACGGCCTACCAACACAGACGAGTTAACCCTTTTCTTGAGGGGGTCTTCGCTGTTAGTGGCGATAAATGGGTTTTAATTTGGGGACTGCAAGCCTCACCCGCAAAGAATAAATTAGTATTCATGTTAATGAGCTAGTATAAAAACACAACCAGAAACCTAGGGACCGAAATGCAAAATAGTAACAAATACCCAAGTCCTAATGCCCTAGGCGACAGCTCTGCAAGAGGCATTCCGCTCCCACGCTGATAAATACGCTTGTTTCTACCCCGATATCCTGAGCAAGGCAAAAAACAACCTCCCAGCCTCTCTTCTGCTCATTCCGCTCTCACTGGACCAACCTTGAGGCCAGGGTTCCCTCACAGAAACTGTTCTCCAGCCCTCCGTAACTCATAAATAAATCAGATTAGTGGCAGACAACTCCCTCGACGAGTTAGCTGCTCGTTTGCAGACGGCCATGCCTTAATATCCGAGCCCGTGCTATCGCAGCAGCCACAGTACCGACCTGGGATGGAAAGAAGCGTGGCTGCGCCCCAAGTTAGCATCATGCCCAGGTCCCTGCTCGGAGGACTGTAAGACGGCCTAATTATTAGCACAGGGAGCCTCCAGAGTGGAATTATTTAGCCCTTACATGCAGCAAAATTCGAGCAATCTCCTGTCCCCGCCGTCCAACGCAAGCGAAGAAGCGCGACCACCGCGTCGGACGTGACCCTACGTGTGGACAGGGCCTGAGCTAGGGTTAACACCGATCAAAACCGTGGAGGCAGTACGGTAAAACAAGCTTTCTGTGCAACCATGCATCCTGGCTTTGGGGTTAAAAACCAAAAAAAAAAAAAAAAAAACCAGCAACGAAGAACATTCCGGGTGTTAAGGCCTTTATTCCACGCACCGCAGGAAAATCCTAGTTACAGGGCACGGCTGGAGACAGCGCGCTTTTCTTGGATCAGCGACTGAGACGTCTGCTGGGGCTCGGTGCCAAGTGTCATGCTCTTGAAAGAACAATGCAAGGTTAGGGGGGAAAAAGCTCTTATTAGAAGAAATTCACTGGAGTATAATTAAATTTACCTGGGCTTTTTTGCAGGTGGCATTCCATCTTCCAACAATGTTTCTTTACCCAGGCTCACCGTAGAAGCCATCCAGTTTCTATGGTAGACAAATCACCACAAGCAAAGTCACTACATATATGCAATACGACGTGGAACAGACCGCAGGTTTTTGTCGAGCCAGCTTTTCATGGGCGGATAAAAACCGGGGTTTGTTATCTTTATGAGATCACCTTCGGGCCGAGAATTGCACTTTTTTTTTTTTTTGTTTCCGAACTTTGCCCCACGGCTCTCATCCGCTTCCTTAACTTGCTTTACAATGAAGCTTGATAAAATCGTAGGGCTGTTTTTGTACAAACCCGGCTTGCGGTCGCCGCTGGCAGACCACCGCGTGCCAGACCCTTCGTTTCACCTCGGCCGTTCATCTTTGCCCGAGAGCCCGTTATCGCGGAGCGGGCGCTCCCCCCGTCCGAGGCGATGCCCATTAGCAAACTTGCCGCTCGGGAGAACAGCGGGAAGGAAGAAAGACAAAAAAGATTTTTCTTGGCTACAAGAAGCCACCGAGAGCGTTTCATTTTCTGGTGATGAGAGAAGGATTATCCAGCCCGCCACACATCTACAGGCGGTGGGATATGACCTCAAAGCCTGCGGAAGGGGAGCTACGCATCTGAGAACTCTTTCAACAGCCCACGATATAAAATGCAAGGTCTGGAGCACGCTGTCCTCTCCCGCTCTGCTCCTCCAAACTACGACTATTCAAAGGGAAAGGAAGCAGACACAACTATTTGCCCTTACCCATTTTTTTTTCTTGCCAATAAAGAGTCCAGCAAAAACACGGGTAGGCAGGCTTTTGCCAAAAGGAAATGCTGTGCAAGAGCTGCTGGCCTCAAAATCAGTTTTTTGGTTTTTGTTGGTTTTTTTTTTTTTTTACAGCTTTCGCAGCCTCGGTGACATCTCAGCGTTTGCCCTACAAATGAGATGTCACCGACCGCTTCAGGGCAGCGAGGCAGCAGCGCCGACGGGCGACACGCGGGGCAGGTACAAAACCTCGGCAGGGATCGTTTAAGAAACCATCCCACTAATCTAGACAGCCGTCACCTTTCAGCGGGGCGCACCGCCTCTCGCCAGCACCCGGACGCAGTACGCTTGCCAGCCTCTCATTTCTGACCGCTTCTGACCACTCTGTAATCATCGTTACAGTAAGAAATCATTATACTAACAATAACATAACGATATTACACCACCTCAGAGAGCCTGTCCTTACAACCTGCCTCCCGAAACACCGCTTAGCATGCGCCGCCCATCACCTCAAATAATCAAGATTTTTATTTTACCGTCGAGCCCAGATTTTGGATAAAAGTTTCAAATGCATTTAGCAAGCGAGGAACTGGGCTCCCGCCGGCTGCTGCACCTCCGTGTGCGTCAGGCCACGGGGTGAACCATTTCGGGGAGTTAAACCGCTGGAAAAAACACCCACTCCGAGGGGGTGACTCTCGGGGAGGCAGGAGGACGCGCCGGACACATGATCGGTCAGGCGGTAACATCAAACTCACTCCGAGTGAATACAGCCAACACAGTCAGGATGGAAAACATCAAGGGGGGGAAAAAAAAACCTTATTTTTTTCTTTCCAGTAGGGTAAGATCTCTCATTTTGGATTAGCTGATTCTTCCGGAAGAACAGGCTGCTTCCACAAAGCCGGCTGAATTTTAATTAGTGGTGCAAAGACCACTTTAGATGAGCTAGGGACTAAAGCACGTAACCTTCGTTCGAGCTAGGGACTAAAGCACGTAACCTTTGTTAACGGGAATATTTAAGAAGGAAACCTGTGAAAAGCAACACGCTGAACTCCCGCTGCTGTCGCGGTCAGCCCCCTGCGAGTCAGCATACCTAAGAGCCGAAGTAAAACCTTCCCCAGTTCCTCCACCGGCTTACTTTACGGATAGAATTTAAGTTTGTATTGGCTTTACCTTGCGAATTACCCGCGAAGTCTCAAATATCAAGCCTGTTTTTAAACTCCGACCTAGGCCTTCCTCTGGTTTGCTTCATCACCCGCCTGAGTACTGCTCCCATTTCTCTCGTCCTACATGTTCGCATTACTTTAAACAGCAGAAACGGAGTAATCAATTCAATTTTTAAATGCCTCTAAAGCATTAAGGATGTTTCCAAGGTCACTTCGAACTTTAGAAAAAAAACACCTTTTACAATTATAGTTACCAAGAAATGGTTGTCTAATAGCATGAACTTTGATCTTCATTTCTATTTAATGCAGATAGCCAAAAAGGAAAAAAAAAAAAAAAAAGGTCAGAAATAATATCTAGTCATCTTCTGCCTCCAAAAAAGTGCTTATTTCTCTTAAGAACAAGCCTTGGAAATTCATCCAAGACATTTAAAGCTCCAGATTTTAGGCCTGGGGAGAAGGTCTGCTTTCCAGGGGCACCGATCACGCTGGCACAGTCGAGGTAACCGAAATGCAATAGCGTTACCTCAGAGCGTGGCACCGCTGCCGTGGGGCAGAAAACACCGAGGGGACTGGGTGGTGCCTGGCTGCGCCGTGAACGCAGGTGCCACGAAGGAGAAGGAGCGACGGGCACGTGCGGGGTAAGAAGCATCTCTCCAGTCTTCCTCCTCGAGACAGCAGGAGCTTTCCAGCTATTTGGACTGCAGGAAGCCGGAGAGAGCGTAAATATCAAACTGCGCGTGTTCTGGGCTGGGCTGCCCCGCTCTCCTGGCACAGCATTGTCTCTTGTCACCTTTGTTAGCGGCACTATGCTGACAGAGCGCCCGCATACGTCTGCGGCGCTCTCCTTCCCCTCCACACCCAAGAAATCAGCTAATTTATCCTCAAGCCCTCGAGGTACAGATTCCAGCAAGGAACCATCACCCTTAAACGCTGCCCAAGTCACCAACGCTGAAGAAACCTAGCCACAATCCCACAGGTGATATCAAAAAAGACACATCCAGCTGCGAAAACGCCCACAATCCCACAGGTGATATCAAAAAAGACACATCCAGCTGCGAAAACGCCAGAGATACAACGACGTATCCCAGCTAAAAACCAAACGCCTAAACGAAGCGTACATCAAATGAACACTGACGCTTGGGTGTGTATTTACAAAAACCTTGCCATAACTCTACAGATCACGCAGAACAGGACTGTGCCGCTCAGTCGCTGTCAGACCCCGGCCTGCAGAACCACCCCAGGGAAATTTATGAGACGCTTTCTCCACCGACTCGTCCCCGAAGGAGATGGGGAAGTCCTCGCGGACGCCTTCAGCCTGTCTCCATGCTCAGCAGCTAACAGACAAGCTACACCTGCACGCTAGACCTGAACGTTTAAAGTTTAAGGAAAATAAAAGCTGCATGCTTCCAGCACGGCGGTGGAAGAGGCGCTCCTCTGGAACAGCGCTCTCCAAGTAGATAAAGAAGCAAGTATGAATTCATGGCGCAACAATTATTTTTAGCTGCTTTGGGCGCTGAGAAGAACTACCACCAGCGAGGGCTGCAGTTCGGATGTCCTTTTTAAATCAAGCGGCTTTAAGATGTTGGGATAAGACAAACGTTACGCTACAGCTTAAAACCCGCTACGTTTCAGCCAGAAGAATCCGAAAGGACGTTCATGGAGTCGTCCCTGGCCGATTCCCAAGCTCTGTCCCTCCAAAGTGGGAGTCGCAATCGGAGCAGGCTCACACGGCTTGGTCAAAACTGTCCTAGAAAGGGACAGGCTTCCGAGATAACAGGGACCGGCGGCACAAGGAAAACAAGCCCTGCTCCTGTTCACGCCGACGTTACGAACACAAGATTCAGCCTCCTCGGATGCGAGTTAAAATACATGGGAGGTTTTTATTTAACGCTGTGAAATCTCCGTGCGCTTCGGGCTGCCACCAGCTTCGTGGAAAATGAGAGGGAGTGACACAGCGGAGCCTGGAACGAGCTCTGCATCCCACCAAACTCACACGGGAGCCTGCGCCGTCCGACAGGCGCCCAGCCAACGCGTTCAGGCGTCGGCTCGCTTCGGTCTGCTTGATTTAAGCCCCAGCAGACGAGGCCGCGGGGCGGCCCTCAAGCAGGCGACTCCGCACGCAGGGCTGGCTTTCCAAGAGAGTTTCTGGAAAGCAAACCGGGCCGGACATGCTGTCGGGGTGGGAGTTTCGCACCTTCAGGGATGCCCGGCACCTCGAGGCCTTACCTTTCCTTTCTGCTGCGCCCCCTCTCACGTTAAACCTGAGGGAAAAGCAGGAAGGGGGTATTTCAGCAGATAGGGAGGAAGCCAAGGCTCTTTCTCAGGGGGAAAACCTCTAAGAAAATGTCTTTTCAAGAGGGTGACGGCGCCTGGGGAGGAATGGGACGGGACG